GGTCCAGTTGCAGTGTTACCAGAAACGGCACTACATCAGCTGGAACTGCATCCCGAGCTGTAGGCGATGGACACAGAGCCCTTTTACATTTTCTTTCCTGTATCTAATGCAACACTGTCCTCCTTCCAACAGCTTACTCTTGCTTCTATTTACTCAAAGTGCAGGACAGTTTCTCATTACATTATAGTAACTTCTACTGGGCAGAAAGCTTATTGTAATGATTTGCTTTATTTTCATGCTGAGAGGCAACAAGTGTATGCACAACATTAGCAAAGTGTTGAATAGTTAATTTGTTGTAGCAGCTTGAAATACGGTGTGATGCTTTAACTTTGTACACGATCCTATTTCAATCCCCAGTCTACATGTCCTCACAATGTCACAACAGAAAGGTGTTCGTGCTGTGCAAATAGAGAAATATTTGGTTGGTACCTCTTGCCTACCTCTCCCCTGTATTCTCCATTTAAAACTTTTTTTATCTCAATCACAGACTGTGCAAACAGAAGCCTGTAAGGCTCCCTGGACGTGCCTGAGATGCACCATGGTATTCCAAGAAGCAGAAGAGTCTCTCCCTATTTCTCCCTGGAAAACTCGCTTCCTCTGGTTAGTGCCAGAATTCAAAGTCGGCTTTCACGGCGCAGAAGACTAGTGGAAAACCAGTAGTACATCTAGAGACTCACCCTATCACTTCTCGATACCTAATTGAGCAATCAGAAGTAAAAGCAAACACATAAAGGCAGCTTTTTGGAATCATTTATTAATCATCATTTATTACATGCCTGTGGCTGGACCTTCTTTCCCTGTGACCACAAGAATCAAATCTTCCTCAAAGTTGCCACCAAAAGACTAGTTACAGGCATCAAACTCAGAAGGCTCTCTTGGTTTACTCTACTTTCTTGGTCTTTTGGTGTCAGTTTTTCATGGGTCTAACTGTAGCGCTTCATACACTATGACTTCACAGAATGAACCGAGAAAGTAACCTGCAAAACAGACAAGGCTGAAACGTGAATATTGCAAACCCTAAGAAAAAAAATGGTGAACGTAGCAAAACATGAGAACTTACTTGGCTGAAAAGGGAAAAACGTAAAGCAGTATACATCAATCTTATCCTTGAGGGAGCAATGACTGCAGCTGCTATACTGTCTCAAACTGACGTTTGAAATGAAACAGGTATGATGCATTCAACTACAGTTAACATACTGCATAACTAATTGCAGCACCTTGGAAAACATCAAAATTTTATGTACATCAACTCAAAAGCTGACGATTCACAACAATACATCCTCTTGTGCTTAACTTATGGAAAAAATGAGTTTTGCTGGAAAGAAAAAATAGCTAAAAATAAAAGCCTATACAGCATTCTGGTCAATAAAATATTAATAATGGGAAAGACTTGTGTCTGCCACACCTATTCCCTCTCCCTTAATAAAGCCTGGCAATATTTAACTCGAATAGTCAGCATTGCAACATGCAGGCCATAAATTAAGAGTAAAATAATGTGCCAAAACCTCAAACACAGCAGCAGCCCACTTTTGCTAGCATCAACAGTTGTCGCCGCTAGCATCTAATCAGTGGACCATATCTAAACAGAGAAGGGGGTGGTCTGAGGATTGCCAACGGGATCCAACCTCTAGTAATAAAGCTGTGGCAGTTTGCACGCTTCTGCTGCGCTTCATAGTGTTATCTTTATTTGTGTTTCTTATGAACTGTTTCTGAAATGAGCAAGAGCAACCAGTGAGATAATATATTCTCTACACAGATGTGTGCTCTTGTGCTAAGTATAGTTAGCAGACAAGCACTGTTTTACTTCTGAACCTTGCTGATGTAAACGTTGGAATAAATTAATATTGCTGTCAAGACAAAATTATCATGTATGGTATAATCATAAAAAAGAAAATACCCTTTCATCATCATGCGTGGTGTACGAACACTACTCTCATCCTGTCACATGCTGGACAGGCAGGGCGTAAGCAAAGCAGCAAGAAATCTACTTCTGCAATGCCTTGGGCACAGGTAAACTCATCTGGGAAATTCGTTTTATATTTGGTCTCAAAACTAGGTTCTAAGCAGCTGGCTTACCTTTGTCAGCTTCAGTTCTTCACTCTTCTTCCAGTTTTGTTTTATTTCAAATGCTCAAAGTAATAGATCTGCAATACTGGGCAACAATGCTGCTTGTGATGCAGGGAGATCTAGAACACTGGTTCTGCAAGTCCACCCACGCAGGCAAGATGAAAAAACCAAAACAAGATAAGGAAATTCCACTTCTCTGTGAAATGCAACTGTAAAGCTGTTAAAGGTGGGGAAGGGGGGGAAGTGAGAGGACCACACAAGAATACAAAATACAGAAAAACCAATCAGGTGCCTATCTTGCTCTCCTGGAAGAGGTTCTGTTTGTCCCTAAACCCAAGCTTTGTGCTGGGATAGGAAAGAGCAAATAAACCAGTCTGAACAAATATTACCACACAGAAATTGTGATTTATTTGAATGAAGGTTCTGGAAGCAAGAACATAGGTTACTGTATCATGCAGCTTTGAGAGACAATCAGGAAATGATTCAGATCAACTAAAGCACAGCCAGCTTGAGGTCCTTTTTACGTTAAACACAGATTAGCAACACCTTAGAGCAATTTTTTTGTCCCCTACCCCAGCCCTCCCAGATCCCCATCTGGTGTTGATGCTTCTCCGAAGCTCCATGAGACACTACCAGAAGTCAGTGCAAGCTGAGGAAGTGCCCACTGAAGAGTTCAGCACAACCCTTGGAAACGAGCAGTGCAGCATGGCAATAAAGACTTCTAGAACAACTTCGGGTTTTCATCCTATGTTCATACAACAGGAATTGCAATATGATTTGAGAGCATCTTTCTGAAAATGCATTTCAAGGAAGAACTCCCCTATTTCTTAACACCTAAAACTAAACCCAAATTCTCCCTCGGCTCGCAAGTTTCAGGTGCAGACCATACCACCATCACTAAAGCATCACCAAATTGTACTGGTTACAAACCCTGGCCCCAGCCAGGCCAATACACTACTGCTCCACTTGCATGCCAGAAGCAGCATTGTTTTGCTAATGGAGTTAGTGATAGCAATTATTCTCAAAAGATAATCCCTTTTGAAGAAAAGAAAAAAATCTACTCATTTCAGAAAGCAACAGCATGCAGATACATGAAATTACGAGTCTACACAAGAAAAAAACATGATGTCTTTGACACTAGTGATCACAGGGAGTTACTAAAAAAACAAAAACGAACCATGCTGTTTTGGTGAATTTATTCCACAATGCTTCAGTTGAAGCATCCTTCCTCAGTGGCTGCATGAAACCCACATGTAACTGCAGAAATACTGGAGTTGAATGTATCAGAAAAGGTTTTTTCCAGAGGTTTTTGCAAAACACTTTTTACAAACAAACTTACTGATTACACACTCAGGTAATGAATTAATTTGACAACAGTTTAAGAAAAAGCTACATAAACTTTTGCTGTAGGCAAGTTTGCAAAAATTTCAACCACATGATCTTAAAAACCAGCTTCACAATTCAACATCTCTACTGCCAGACGACAGCATGCAATCTACCATCAAAGAAAAAAATAATTGGGGGAGGGAAGAAAAGAAAAAAAGAAGAGGTGTTTGAGCACAATCTGAGTTTCCCAAAATTTGTAAGTTGTATTCTTTAAATTCAGACAACTTTATAGTTTTGCTTTAGAATTGCTAAAGAATGAATTTCTTTT